TCTGCAGTCATCATGTTTTGGAAATAATTCTTAGTAAGGTTTTCAAGTTGTGCTGCTTTCCGGATATTCCAATTTTTAATCGATTTAAAATAATTTGGGTACCTATTGATCGTATCTGCTTCAAGTCCTCAGACCTAGAATCGTCGAAGAATTTTGAATTTTACAAAAACTCCCCAATCCCCTTGTTGCTAGCTGCATTGAAACAAAAGTCTCAACGTTATGACGACTACTTGGAACTGATCGAGTTGGCTTTGGTCGTTTTGGTGAAATCTGGATCAAGGCACCGTGTGCCACTAAAGCTACTATGTCCGACCTAACTTTTTGGAAAGATTTAGAACGCTATGAGGAGATTGGGAAAAGCGAGGTTGCTAGAGAATCTCTGAAACATCATCTTTGGTACTTATCCAATGAACTCGTAATAATTTTAATACCAACAATAATAATAATAATAATAATCATAATATTAATATGGCCTTTGTCTACGCAATAAATTATTTCTTACTTATATTTTTTCAAGGTCGACTGTGTGTTGTAAACTTCGAGTTGTAAATGATATAGCGGAAAGATGGGCAAAACTATTTGAAGAGCATAATCAATTATAAAAAATGAGGACGAAAAGCAAGACTTGTTACAAATCGTAGAAACGAATCGGAAATCTGTTCCGACAGAAACCACAAAAAAGAGTTCTGGACCATGATTTTCATGTGGATATATTGTCTTCAGATTCATTCTATCATAGCTGTGAGCACTCCCTTCTAATTAAGCTAGAGGGTTCAAATTTTCTAAAATAACTTTTTTTACTTTATATAAAAAAATTAGAGGGTGAGAATAAGTCTATTTACAACTTCACTTTTTTAATTCGTTTCTGGACCACCCTAATGTATATTAATTATAACGATTTTACCAATATATCATTTTTCTTGTCTATCGGCACACTATGATTTTTTCCTTCGAAAATTAAGAATCCATTTTCTACACTGTTTGTGTTTTTTTTTGTTTTTATTTTTTTTGTTTTTAATCTTCAAGCGAATACAAATTTTTTTATCTATATTAGATCAAAATTTTTTTTCGAAATTTTAAATTTTAATAATTTTGATTTTTTCCACTTTTCAAGCTATTTGAAATAAATATTTTTGATGCTGTGGCATATCGGCACACTAAGATTTTTTTCTTTAAAAATTAAATAGCTATTTACATACCATGGGAGGAAAATAGTGCTTTTCCTCCCGCGAATAGTTTTATGCCCGACGCGAAGCGAAGGGTATTAAATATTCAAGGGAGAAAACGTATTTTTCTCCTGAGGTATGTATATAGTTTTTTCTATTACCTTTTAACGATTTTAAGACATTTTAAGCAATCCGGTTCCTTTTACTAACCCGGTATGGGCTATAAAATTATGACAAAATATTAAGTAGGTGTTGCGTCGCCGACGTTATGTTGACAACGCTTTGTTGCTATGGTATTTTTGGTTAGACAGTTTTTATAAGCTGTCAGAATGTTTATCATACATTTGAAATTCTTCGTACGTTTTGAAAATGAGTTCTAGCGAAGAAGACCTGCCGCAAGATCTTGCTAAAGAGGCAAGAATAGTTGCAATTAATTTCCTTTCTTAAAAATCGAAAGAGCGATATGAAAATGAATACCTATAGGTATTCATTTTCATATCGCGAAAATGCCACTTTTCCTCCCTCTTTTATATATAGTTTGTTAAAAGAATGGTTGGACAAGCGCGGAGTAAATCTTATAAAATCAAATAGGGCTAGACAATGTACAAAAACTCTTGATAATGTAAAATTGTTAAAAAAAAAAGAGGGAGGAAAAGTGGCATTTTCATAACGATTTTTCTTGTCTATCGGCACACTATGATTTTTTTCTTCGAAAATTAAAAATTCATTTTCTACACTGTATTTTTTTTGTTTTTAATCTTTAAGCGAATACAAGTTTTTTTTATCTATATAAATCGTGGCTATCAATTTTTTTTCGGAATTTTAAATTTTAATAAATTTGATTTTTTCCACTTTCGGGCATTTTGTTATATCAAAAATGATTTTTTTAATTTAATATATTTATATTTAGCTCTTTTAACTATTAAAATTGTTTAAAAAAATTAAGGAAGACTACCTATGAATATAAGTATAGTAAATTGATTGATTAAAACACACTTTATTAGGTTAGTTCTCTCGATAACTGCATCCTAGAAATATTTTAAGATAAAAACATAGATGCCAATTTTTTCAGTTGGGCCGGAGTTGCACTATATGTCTCAATTGTAAAAAGTATGTCTCGAAGGTTTTATTATCCCCACAATCATACATATACGTATATGTATACCTAAACTGATCATTACGAAATTAATATTTATTTTAAGATTGAAAATCAATTAATAATAATAATAATAATAATAATAATAATAATAATAATAATAATAATAATAATAATAATAATAATAATAATAATAATAATAATAATAATAATAATAATAATAATAATAATAATAATAATAATAATCATAATAAATGCTTTTATTGGAAAACTGTTTTATAAGTACAAAATAATATTTAATAAATACTAAAGAATATATGACAGTCTGTCAAAGGCAGAGTTCAGACTAAAGCGTCTGCTTTTCCATCATTTTACTATATATTCATAGGCAGTACTCTTTTTTTAAACAATTTTAATAGTTAATAAAATTAAATATAAAATAAATAAATATATAATATAATATATAAATATAAAATTAAATATTAAAAATAATCATTTTTGATATTACAAAATGTCCGAAAGTGGAAAAAATCGAAATTATAAAATTTTCGATAACCACGATCTAATATAGATAAAAAAACTTGTATTCGCTTAAAGATTAAAAACGAAAAAAAATACAAACAGTGTAGAAAATGGTTTTTTAGATAAAAATCATAGTTTGCCGACAGCATCAAAAATATTTAGTTCAAATAGCTTGCTTCAAGACAAGAAAAATGTTTGGTCGTTCGTCGGAATCGCTCAATTGATTGGCAAAATCGTTATAATCATGAAAATTTAAAAAATCATATCTTCAAAAATTGATAAACCGTGCTAAAATTAAAATTTAATTTTTATTTCAAGTCAGGGAACCCATGGAAAAATTGCCTGGGAACTTTGAAATGACAAGGGTTTTTTTCCTGTCGAATTCACTTGGAATTCCCCATGTATATGTATGTCTACATACATGCTTATGTATACATGTATGTATACATGAATCCATAACTGCAGAAAGAGGACATGTCACATTTTTATAAATGTTATTATTTTTCACTAAAATGTTGTGTATACAATCTTTAAGGCATACGTCAGAATAGAGTTAGATTTTTTAAAAAAATTTTATTTATCACCTTTCTGCAGTAAACAAAAAAAAACATATTTTTTTTAAAGAGAAATTATTTTTATAAAATTATTAATTAAGGCAATTAATGAACTCTCGACGAATAACTTCTTGAGGGTAAGTGAAGATACAGCAAACACCTTTTTTCACCTTTTGGTACATTTTTAGAGATTCATTGCTTAGACAAGTCTTTCAATAAAATTCTTTCCACCTTTTTTTTTAACTCATAGATTAAATCCCTAGAGACCTCCACAAATTTATTTGAATTTTTGGATGCTTTTTGGATCAATGTATTGTTGAACAGTATAAAATCTTTCAATTTTATTAAACTGCCGTTTGATCATAACAAAGTCACGGTCACAGGGCATAAACGAGCGACCTCTCAGGGGATATTTGCAGTAAATTAATTAGTCCATAGCGGACAGTGTAAAACTGAATCATATTTCGGTTTAGCAGTAAACGATGTGTCCAAGTCCCTAGATAACAAAATTACAAAAATGTAAAATTTTTAAAAAATGTGAATCACAAACAAATAAAATTTAAGTGTTAAAATGTTTGGACGGGCTAATCTCCGAAACGGCTGAATCGATTTTGACGGGACTTTCATTGGCAGGTAGATGGCTTTTCAGAGGGCAATATAGGCTATTTTTGTTTACATTTTTTATTTTTTTATAAAAGGCGATGTATATAAAAAGTGTTTTGTTTTGTTACGTAATCCTAACTGGGCTGCGTATAAAATAGACATTTATCCTTTGACCATAGAACCTGGGAAATTCCCAGAGTCTGGGAATTTTTGCAAAAAAAATTATTTATTTTTAATTTTTGTAAAGAAAAAATTGTTATTTCTTATTTTTTCAAAAATTTATTAAATATAATGCAAACCAATAAAGCTCGCGGGTTGACAGCTAGTTTTAATAATATTAATATGTAGTAATTGTTATTTTAAAATAAATCACCGAAACTGGGTATATCGTTTTGGTGGAGTTTATTCTTCATTTTTAGGGCCCACTATGATTAAAATGTTAAAAAATAGTAATAATTATTTTAATATCTAAATAGTAAAGTAGTATTGAGTAGCATTAATAATTTCGGGCAAAGTACCCACAAAAACATCCTCTTCACTTTTACTATGTAAAACTGCTATATAAATATAGCAAATATATACAAATTATTTATTGTAATTATTTGTATTATTGTATTTGTAGTACAAAAAGTATAGTATGCAATTCGTTTATAAACTTTTCTCATTTTATTTAACTTTTAAATTCGTGATTAAAATGGCGTTTATCAAATAATATTGCATTAGTATCTGAAGATTTTAAAGTGAATATAGTATATCTAAAGTTGGAGCTCTTCTTATTATTATGCATATTTTTAATAGGTAATCAATGTAGAAAACAATTTTCTCGTGCCAACTTATTATTACTTACTTGTTCCGCCACGCATTTCCCTTAAAGCGAAACTGGAAACATGAAATTATTTTCAGTTATGTTTGAATTTAAACTGTCAATTATACCGCATAAACTGTCGTATTCGAAAACAAACTATGCACGTTGTTCAAACATCCAAAGAGATATATGTAATTAAATAAATGGTTCTAATGGTTGCGTGGATTTTTAATTTTTTTTTGTTTGTTTTTTAGTTGCAGGGCAAAAAGCGCAAGGCGGAAGACGCGGTGAAAAAAGCCGACATCGAATATTACACGCTATGCGTGAGAGCCGAAAGAGCGAGGTAAGGAAATGTGACACTGCAGTGCACTGGTGTTAATGAATATTAATATCTTACAGTTCGTTTTGCCTATTAGTAATAACAAGATATCATTTTGCGTAAAATTATATCCCCTGCTTTGCTTATACTAACTATGGTGTATTAACTGAATTTCCTTAATATTTCGAAGGTCAAAAAAGCATATCGAAGACTTTCTGCCAAAGTATCGCAATAAGCATTTATAACTCTAATTTCGATAATTTTAACTTTTTTGTTTTGAAGTTTGTTTGAACTATATATAGTCTATAGGTTTAATAAGTAAATAGCTTAGGTATGATTATAAAAAATTTCAATAATATCAGTAAATTGTTTTTTAAGAAATCGTGCCAACCGACTTCAAAAATATAGGTTTATAAAAAAAATCGGAAAAAATTTACCTTTCGGGCTCATCAGAAACGTGTAAGGGGAAACTTAGCTGGATTAAGGTGAAAATATATATATTTTTTAATTTAAATTGTCTTGCTAACGGTAATTTTTGGAAGAAAATGTTGTGAATAAAAAATGTCCCCTACAATTTATGTAAATGGATTGTTGCTCTAGGACAAACAAATAAAAAGTATATTATAGTATACCTATGGTGACGCTAGAGTACCTACCCATTTTTTAGTTTTCAATTAATAAAATTTTCAATTCATATAAACTTGTATCCTATGATAGGCTATCACTAAGGCTTTGTTTAATCTTAATACATTCTCGAAATCTAAGATTTTCTAACCAAATCTTGTGGAGAATCACCCATTTAATTTTTTTACCTCAATATGGAATCACCCTGTATAGCTATTATATTAACAAATACCAAAAATCCATACGACAACAAAAGTTTTAAATTTTTATAGCTATTGATTATAATCAATAATTATATTTGTATTTGAATAAAAATTGAATGGCAAAATAATAAAATTAGTTTTTTTAAAGTTGGGAACCAATTAATGTTTGAAAGAAAATATATGAACGAGTATTAGGTTTATGATTAATATATATATATATATATATATCCAAATAAAATCCTAAAATTAAGAAAAAAATATTTGAAAATTTGAAACATTTGCCGCGAAAATCATACCAATACTAAATGTAGTCTGTAATTGAATATTTTAATGAATTTTAAACAACTTTAGTTGGCAGCAATTGCAATGTTGTCATGTTTAGATTACAATTTTGCTTAATAAAATGACGCATAAAAAAAGAAATTGACGTTTTAGAATTTTCAGTTGTGTTTTTAAATATTTCGTTTCATTTCATGTATAATTTCGTTTATTTTGTTTGTTTTTTGTGTTATTTTATATCGTTTATGTTTTCATTGCCGTTTTTGTGTTTGTTATATCGTTTTTTTGTTTTTCCTATATTTAAAATGCCGAAGCATCTAAATAGTCGGAGTCAAGAGTTGGTATCATCCTTAATACGCTATTTTGAGGCAGAACAGGATAATAATGGATCTTTGTTACCTTTAACAGCTGCTAGAGAGATAAATAGAATTATTATTAATTATATTAGAATATTTAACAAAATATATGTGGGATACATAAAACAAGAATATATATACCAGAGACTGACTTGACAAAATTTCTGGGTTTTATAGCTGTAAATGTCTTTAAAAATGGCTAAAATCATACTTTTGGCGGTGTACCATATACTATATGGCATATAGGTTATAAAACTCTGACTTTTGAGATTTTGGTATTTTAAGGTCCCAAATCTAGGGACCCTATGGTATTATTCATCTATTGCCCTGTAGTTGCACTACCACTTTTACTTGATGCAATGATTTTAGCATCACATTGACAACAGTGCCCTATCAGCTGATTGATCTTCGTTTCCTTTTAAATTTACTATATTTATTTATTGAATAATATTGTACTTCTATACTTATTTTAAGTACTTTTTATTAATACTATTATCCATATTTACTATTGTTTATTATTATAATATTTAACTGTTTTACTAGTTTTAAATATTATTATTGTTTATTTTCATATGTAATTGCATGGATTTTTGTGCATTTCATTATTGTTTTTTTTTAAATACGTCAAGGTGATATGCTTATTTTTACAACTAGGAACAAATATTTAATTTTTTTCAAAATTTTATATAATTTTACTTTGTTTTATTTTTACAATAATATTGTTTTACAGGCTCGAATGGGAATCAGCTGCCTTAAGAGGTGTAAATACATTTCAATCCTTGGAGGAAGAACGCTTAAACAACCTAAAATCTGTCCTAACTTCCTACTTACACCATAGTAACGAACTTGGCCCGAGACTAATAGAGGTAAAAAAACTTTAATTACCATTTAACGAAAAAAATATATATTTATTATATTTTAGGCCACAGAAAGATTAAAATCTCCCGTTACCTTCGCGGAACCCTCCAAAGACCTTTCAACCTTCGTAAATCTCCGACAAACCTCCCAACAGGTGTCCGAACAACTTTTGCCCGATTTTTACTGCGAACACATAACACTAGCCATGAACAGAGAGAGAAGAAAACAAGCTCTAGTGAAATTGCTACATTTGATAAGGCAGGACATCGAAAGGGAGAGGAAATCGAAAAACGGATTAGAAAATTTGTCAAAAGCAATGAAACAGACGCCCAATTTTGGGGCAGAGGATTCTCAGCAGAGTGTCGTGGAGAAATTATATCATGTAAGCACAAAATACGTGTTTTATCATTATTGTTTTAACAGGCATGTAAACAAGAGCGTATCAATTATTGTGGTTTCAAAATTTTACCTATTTTTCTCCAGGTATAATAATATACAAAAGCATTTATTATCTTGATGCTGCAAAAGTAGCTCCAACTAGTAATTTTTAAGTTAAAAAAAGAACATTTTGTAACCTATCAAATGAAAATCTTAATTTTTGTTTTGTTTTAGATGAAATCAATGTTAACGTATCTTGAAGGTGCAAGGTACAAAGTACAGAGTGCTCTAGCAGAACTAGATAGTAGACCTAGAGGAGGTCATCCTCTGGCAGCCCATATTACAATAACCAGGGACAAGTCTGGTTTACAACAGAGCGTTTTAAAAGTAATAAAATTAAACCATGCACAATATACAATGTTTTAACGTATTTATTTTTTTACGTTAAGGTTCCTCAATGGTTACGCGAGGAGTATTTCGAGTCAGATAAAAGTCCGGTAAGCGAAAAATCAGCAAAATCCAGCCAATCAGACAATTCGGATCCACACATAAATGACGTGGACGATCCTGATTGGCCCGATAGAGGAGCGGCAGATGGAAATTCCAACCAACCAGACTCGGATTTTGGTAAGAATGTTTTTCTTTTTTGTTTTTGAAATATCATAAAAGGCTTATTAACACTTTTCTACAATCTAGAATCATTTTAAAACTGTTTTGCGCCCTACAAAGACATTTAAGTCAGCTTCGAAGTTCGAACGAAGGGAATCGATAAAAACGATTTAATAGCGTTTATCACTCTTGATAAAGATTAATGGTACTAAACATTGTTTATGAAACCTAATATTTATACGATTATAATCCTGGATAAGGAACCAGAAAATTAAATAGATTTTTAGTCGAGGGGTAAAACACTTTAAAATCTAAGAGACCACCGTTCAATGTTAGTGGACGTTGTGTTGTGATTTTTTTCCTTTTCAGTCGGTATCAATAAGAAATTTCTCTTAGCGACGCGTTGCGCATGATTACCCTTTATTGTTATTGTTATATAATTAAAATTTCAAAAAAAGATGTTTGATTTACAATATCTGATTGGTAGTAACTTTTTGTTTTTTTTGCTCTCAATGAAATACTTTTATATAAATTTTCTTATGCAATATATATAACATTAACCACAAATTAAAAACCATGGGTATAATTTATTGGCGGTAATAAAACATCATTAATCGGCAATTAGTAACAATTTCATAAACAGAGTTAAACAAATATTTAGCCATTAACTTTGAAAAAACATGCATTAAAATGGAGATTGTGTCTGCGGGTGTATTTTCTGAAAATGCCAAGGAAACAATCCAGTGGAATTTCGCAGCGTGATACAGCACAGTATCCCGTTCATTTTTTCAATAAATTTTATCGATAATCATTATAATTTAAACGCGTTATAATTATTATGAAACACCGAGTTTGTGGGCAAGAGTAGCAGATTTAATTAGAAGCTAAATCTCGAGTGGAAATAATCCGTTTGGTAGAATCGAAACGCGTTAATAATTTATAATAATGGAGCGCATAATACACAATAAACAAAAATAATATTTGTATAGGAGTAATATGTTTAAAACATAATGTTTTATTTGTTGTTTTATTATCTACCTAAATTTACCTAAATATGACAAAAATAAATACTTTTTTCTACGACCACTACATATATGTAAAAGTCACATTTCATAATGGCATCATTGCTTAGAAAATTAATCTTTTCATTGGCAAGGCAAAACTCGAATGTAAAGTGACATTTCTGTGTGAAAAGTGACAGGTCTGTGTGAAAAGAAATTGAAAGCCTAGTAATTTTAACAGCTGTCAAACACGTTTTTAGGTTATTTGGTTTTGTATTTGAAAATATTAAAAAATAAAAGGGTCGTAAAAAACATTGTCTATTTTCTACTCGTATAATACGAGTCGTATTGCATATTATTGACATTATTTGGGTTTTTTTTTCGTAAATAATGGTAACCAAATCGTTTAAGAAACAGAAAAGTTATGTCGTTTTAAAAAAGGACGAACTTTTTGGTCGCGAAACATTGAGTGGTGCGCAGTTTAATTAAGTTAAAGATGTCATTCAAATCAGTTTTTTTCGCTATATTTAACGGATCTTCATGTCGGATCTTAACAAGCAATGTTTTGATATAATATAGGGTTAAAATATCGAGGCATCAAATATTACAATGTCCAGTCATCAGTTAGTTTTAAAGTGTGCAATGTCCAAATGGCCAATAGGGTGCAGTGAAACCGATCACGTGGTTACCAATATTTGTAATTTTCACGGCAGAACAATCAGGATGTTATTGAAGTGCTTTTTCAGTAGGTGACATTGTTTTATTCCTTCAGATCGCGTATTTAAAAATACTGAAAAAGTCATTAAAAAATGAAAGTAATACTAAAACCAGAACAGTATTTCAAGATATTTTCAAAACACGCAACATTTTAAATTAGGAAAATATCTAAATGATTACGACTGGAAGGCTGCTTTTGAAAACGTATACGTTATTAATATATTAATGCGAGGCGAATATGCCTATGGAAATTATTTAGGCCGCCTAAATTAAGCGTGCCTAAATTAAACGTATGCAAGAAATGTAAATCCTTTGTGTCAGTATGGCTAAAAATTACACTTGCTCGGAAAAAAATGATGATCTGCATTGGGGAACCGACGGAATTATAGATTCTGAATAAGCCGTTGATGAAAACATACTATTTAATATATTTATATATAAATGATCTGCCATCTAATCTTAATTATAAGAATCTACTTTTTGCGGACGATCTTAAAATGTATGCACAAATACGAAATGTACAGGAGTGTGAAAATATGCAAAGAGAACTTAATTCTGTTAATGAGTGGTGTGAAAAAAATAAAATATGTTCCTATAAACTAAATTTACAAAAAATAGTTTATGACTATAAATTAGACGATGCTCTATTATTTCGAATTAACTATATTAAGGATCTGGATATAACCTTTGACTCAAAGTTATCATTTAATAAACATATAGCTAATACCTATGTGCAATGTGAATTTGGTTCTGTAGTTTGGTATCCTTGTAACAATATATAATACAATTATATTATAATATATTTATTTATTTACCTACATATTAGGTAAATAATCTTTAGCAAAAAGAACATTTTTCTAGTCAGATTCTACTCTATAAATTGTTAAATAATAAAGTTGATGCAGCGGAGTTACTTTCAATGCTTAATTTTTTGTTCCTAAAATAAGTTCCCTTAAAACACTTACATTTTGATATGCTAGCTCCAGGACTTGTGCATTTAAAATCTTCTGTGGAGGTTATGTGTAATAAATTTTGTTAATTATTGTTATTAATATTTATGTCAATTTAGTTAGGTTTGCCTTTGGTCCAAGAGCAAAATTCCAAATTCCAAAGTAATTTATTTAAATATAATACATATAAAACAATTGACACACTTTACCAAGTGCACGAACAATCTGACCAGGACACGGACAATGACAATAACGAACAAGACGAAGACCACGACTAAAAAACTACACCCCTGCAACGAAATAACAACTCTTACTATTTGGAGTAATACTAATTGCCTGGTATAGGGGGATTCCGCGTCGTACTTGTCCGTAATTGTCCCCCAAAAACCAACAAATGTCTATCCCTCCCGTCCCTCCTCCTCTATACCCTACTGGGCGTATAGCATCGGCTCGGCGAACCCGAGAATGGCTATTAAAACTATTCGCATGTCGCCCTCGAGCCCCAACTAGGGGATAGTACGGATCGCAATGGACATTCGCACCCAGCAAACACGGGTGAAGCCGTGCAGTTGCTGGGGGCGAACAAAAATCGGCGTAAGTAAACATAGGCCTGTACGTGGCCCGGGAGTGATGAGGCAATGGGACCGGTTATACGTCTCTTATACTCATACTGATATTCAATTTAGTTAGGTTTGCCTTTACTATTATATACGTATTATTGTCTTGTAAATGGTTTATCTTTTGGACAAATAAAGAAGAATTTATTTATTATTTATTAATGAAATTGATGTACTTTGTGAATTTACGGAAGGGTTTCCAGGTATAATTTTATATAAATTTTTCTTTTCCTTTATAAGGACTATTCGAGGAATATTATAGAGAAATACAGGAATATGTCTATTCTCTTCTGGGTAAAGTCGGATATGCCTATTTCACACTGTTTCATATGCGATGCGCGCTCCACAAGATCCAAGATCGAATTTTCAGAAAATAAGTCAAAATTAACCTTAATTATTTTTATTTTAATATCAAGGTGGGGCTTTTAGGTATACAAAACAATTATCGGCGCGTTGAAACTCCAACTAATTTTTTATTTCCTTTTGTTTTAGATGAATTTTCCTCAGAATGCAGTAGCACCGACGAAAAACTGGCGCCGATCGAAGAAAAATCGTTGACGCCCATCGAAAAATGCAAGGCACTCTACCCGTATACCCCCAATCTTACCGACGAACTGGCACTACGACCTGGAGACCTGTTGTGCGTTTACCGCAAGCAGGACGACGGTTGGTGGCTCGGCGAGTGCAACGGAAGCGTTGGAATATTTCCAGCCACCTACGTGGAAATAATTCCATCCTGAAGACTGACTAACTTAATTTGCTTAGAAGAGCTTTTTTAGAATCTTTGAATTATTTTGGAAAGTTATAACCCTTAATAAGTTGTTTTGTGTACCTACACATTGGAAAATATCCAGAGATTATCAAATTGTGTTTGTTTGGAAAGCTGATCAATTTTACCAACTAAACTAAGTTGGCCAACTAGTTTTTGATTAATTGTTGTTTTAAAAGAACTCTAATACAAAACAAAAATATCTCTAGATGTTTCCCAATATTTTTAAAATTTGTAATGCACAAAAGGTCCTAGTTACAAAACTTAACCAATATTTTTGTGGATTTTTAAAGCAATAATAAGCTAATAACAAAACTCAAGATTCTTTCTAAGTATGTTTAACCGTACTTACACAAAGGCAATAATAATTAATTTGAGTGTAATTTAAACTAATAAGTAGTAATTAGATAATCTTGTATAATATTTTTCAAACAACTTCTGTGGTAACTACTTGTGGTAATAACTCCCATTTATTATTTTGTACAAACTGCATTCTTAAAATTTCTATTTATTATCTTTATAAGTATTAATAATTATAAAACGATTGTATGTTATTTTTAATTTGTTAGTCAAAATATTAAAATATTTTACTTATATTTTTGTTTGTTTTCATAAAAAAACTAAAATTGAAACGCAAAATTAAAAGACAACTTAAAGAATCCCGTGACCATGGGCGCCGCTACATAGGGGCAGGGGGGGGGCCCGGGCCCCCCCCTGGAAATTCATACCCAGAAATTCCGGTACTTCATAATTTGACGGTAAGTGCTGATCGTTATCATTTGTTCATTATTTTTTAGATAAATTGTTATCATTTGTTCATTATTTTTTAGATAAATTAGATTTGTTATCTTAGATAATTTAAGATTTGTGCCGTCTTAATGAACACTAGTGTTGTTACAGTTATAAAATGAATGAAATGGCTGGATGTTCAAAGAAATCAGAAGCACAGTTTACTGATTCCGTTTATAATCCTATGGCGAAGAAACCAGAAGCCACAGATCATTATGTTCATATTCCAAAGATCTTCGATGGAATCTTATATACGTGCAATAAGGTTCATATCAATTTTGATTTGGAATCCAAGGGGTTTTAGCTTAAATAAAACTTAAAAATTGAAATAATCCGGACACTGTTCTTGGAAAATTTATGAAATAAATATTAAAAAAATAGAGGATTTATTTATGGATTCAGGATTTAAATCCTTTTTTGCAAGTGGATTTAGGATTTATGATTTAAATCCAGATAACGTAATGGATTTATGATTGAGGAATTAGATCCAGTTTATGGTTTATGGTGTGGATTTATGGATTTAGATTTAAATCCTTTTTGCCGGATCTTGCCCATCCCTGAGTAAGACACATTCTTGGCTGACATATTTCTATATACGAACTATATATGTTGAAAAAGTCGACTATAGAAGAGATTTATTCATAAGCCTAGTGAATTGATAAACAAATGGTGCTAATAATTGTGTAAAATTTACAAATATACATACAGGGTGTCCCAAATGTCAACGATATCCTTTGAAGGACTCATAGGTCAGAATCAGAATATCAAAACATGACCTTGGTAAAAAATCATTAGTTTTTAAGATATTAGCATTTTTATGAATTTTGTGAAACTTGACACAAAAACCCTGAATAGGACTGCTATTAATTACAATTCAAAATTAAATTAATAGCAGATTTTGTAGCTGTGGCACTCGAAAAACTAATCTAAGGTGTCAAGTTTTACAAAATTCATAAAATGTCAAAAACTAACGATTTTTTACTAAGGTCATATTTTGATTTTCTGCTTTGTCATGAGTTGGTCTATCAGTCCTCCAAAGGATCTCGTTGACTTTTGGGACACCCTGTATAAAGATGATATTTTATTTGACTTAAGTTTAATGTGGACTTCTACAGTACAACTTAATTATAAATAACATCTATCAAAATTGTAAAAAACTTTAAGGGCCCCCCCCTAGACGAATTCCTTCCGGCGCCCATGCCCGTGACGTTAAGAATTTCTCCCCATGTACCAAAGTTATATGGTTTGCAAAAAATACATAAATCCTAAAAATAATATCTGTCACCAAATGACAATTGACAATTTTTGAGTGCAGTTTTATGCTCTAACTGGGATGTCAAGAAATGACAGATGGCAAAAACGACAGGTGACAGATGTAAAAAAATAATGGATGTCAACTATTACTGTAAATTATTTTTTACTGTTGAATAAATATATCCAAGTAATTCTTAACATTTCCACTGTTACTTAACATTAATTATAATTATTAATTATTCAAGTGATATTTTTATGAATAGCTTTCCATCTCAAATCGACCAGGCAAAAAGGGGTAGGTCGTTATTTTTCAACAAATACAATTTTATTATTTTGCGATGAACCACGAATTTACAAGAAAATGGCATTTTCATTAAAAAAATAATAATTACGAAACGACGAATTTAGCCAATTCGGAAATTTTGGTGAACGTTATTCATATAAAAAAATATAAAGTAAAAAAAATGTGGCAATGTCAAATTTTTAACCTCAATTTTGTTGCCTTTTTTGAAAAAACAATATAAAAAAAATTGAGTAAATTCACTTAATTTTTTATATTAAAAAAAAATTGTAACGATCGAAAAATTGTTGACCAAGTTATCGCATTTTCAAGAAAAAATGTCACTCCTAAAAAGAAAAAAATCGATGTTTCTGTCCATTTTTTAAAAATTTCTCAAGGGTGAATAAAACAAATTTAAGCAAAAACAACGATGTTTAATAATTAATAAATTTATAACTTGTTTCAATAATAAATCAAATTTAATTTTAAATTGTTTGAATATTCAATAAATTTTTTAAATAATAAAAAGCTGAAAATTATCTTTCCTTCAGGAATGAATTAATTTTTTATTACTTTGTTCAAAATGAATTAGAATGCACTAAGCGGATGAATTGGATATTCTTTTCATAATATGAATGATTTCATCCATCCACTTGATGAAATTATACACATTTCGGCATTTTATTAAACGGACCGCCGTTTTATAAAAGCATAAATGCTCTTGAGGTCGGTTTCACATAAATTAGAATACACTAAGGCAGCGGTTCTCAAACTTTTTTTTCGCGTACCATTCATGTGCATCCATTTCATGAAATTTACATGTACATCAAGCGAGCACGAGATATTTGTATTAAGTCGAATTAAGTCAATTTGCCCTACCGTGCGTAAACAAGTTTGACTTCAAAAAAATTTCGTAGCATGCATATAAATATTTCCCGAGAGAAACTAAGTTTTTCCCATGATTACTGGGCATTCTCGGGTCAATATTTCTACTAGGGTAATGTTATAAAATATCTTAATTTAATTAAAACAGTAATCTAATCATATAATTCTTTGACGACAGTAGATATATCTCTGAACTTTTGTCACATAAATGCAGAAACTATAGTAAGCAATACTGTTCACATTAATATGATTTCGAATAGAATATTGACTGGATTACTATTTTGCGCATCAATGTTTAGGTACTGTTTTTTTCTCCTTGTGTGTAAAATTACATAATATGATTTTATTTTGTTTAAAATTTTATTGAACAATAGTCTATTAAAAAATCAAACAAATAAATTATCTGCCTGAGAAAAACAAACCCCATAAAGAGAAATCAAACCAAATAAAAATGAGCTTAGTGCGGCTTAAAATTAAATAAAGATCACACACACTCAACAACCAAACCCAACCGGCAAATAAATAATTCAAAACCGGCCGACAAACAAATACTAAATACGGATACACGGCCGCAAACAAATCCGTTTGGCTTATCTTTCCGAACAATTGAATCCGGAACAACAATTGAATGTAACTGCGGCCTCCTCTCTCACAAAGAAACGCAGAGGTTGTTCCAAAAACCAAATTCAATCTATGTACATAATTTTATAAGGAATGAGAAGATCGATTTATTTTATACTGTCTATCCGGGCCGCGGGATGTTCAACCAAAATTAATTTGAAAAAAGCAGAATATTTAACCTACCTAGTTAATTATAGTTTACATTAATGGCAGATCTGGAATTAAATACATTGCTTAATTATGATCCTACAAACACATTTAAAGTTCTTTCTTACTTCAATGATGTAAACTATCTTCAAGAAATTTATAAATTTTATAAAATTGTACTTATTTATTGGTATTTAAATGTTATCTTTACTTACCGATACACACAATTATTCTTTTTTTATTCTTATTATTATTTTTGTCTTTGTTCTGTTTCACTCGACATTTACATATTTTTATACTTACCGTCATAGATAAAGTATATTACCGTGATACCTTAGCCGGTAGGAGTCCGGTATTACCCATGTGCTGTGTGGGTTGTGAGGATTTTCCACTCGGAGGTTTGGTGCTAATAATCTTGTCAAAAAAATATCTACTCTAATCCTGCTCCCTATGTATGTTAATAATAATTCACTCCAATTAGTAAGCTCATAATAATAATTTTAAGGACAATGTTGTTCAAGTTTTTCCATTGAAAAAGCATGTAGGTAAATCATGAATTTTTTGTTTATTTGAATAAAGCTCCGCCCGCATTAATATATTTATGGGTTATTAATGCGATATAATGACGTCAGCATTACCAACCTTGAATTGTAAAGTTACTGCCGTTAAATTTGCTTTTTAAGTCGTAATTCTGATACGAATTAAGTTAAATCTAGTTTACTGCCAGCAAAATTAAAAGGTCAGTACAATTTTCAAATAAACTTTTTAAATAATGGCGTTGAGAAACTGTATTTTTGTATTGAGATAATAAAATAATTTTTACATTTAGTAATATTTTACAAAAAGGGCTTTAAAATGATTTTATATAATTCGATGCCACAATATGAAATTTCGCAAAAAACAAAAAAATAACTCTTAAACTTTAAAAATACTTTTTGTTTTGGAACGACCCTTTTAGAGAGGTCCCTTCGCAAATCATGTTTGACACATGTAAGTGGGGCCTCTCGCATGCCACACGTGAACAGGTCGCGTGGCAGTGGGAAATCACAGAGCTAAAGACGATTTGTCTGTCACAGCTCAATTTGAAATCTACACACCCACAATGACATAACCAACTTTTGCTTGCGCTAACTACAGCCGGCTAATTTTAAGCTCTCATAAATATACATTTGTGCGTGGCGTGTGACTATTTTACGATTATAATTGGTTAGAATTTAAAAAGGATACAACCCAATTGAAAATAATTATTGGTGTTTAAAATAAATATTTGCATATCTCTATAAAAATAGATTTTAGAGAATTTTGTACCCTTAAAATTTTTCTTAGCATATTCAGGAAAATATTATACAAATTTCGTAATACAAATGGTGAATATTTCTAAAAAAATTATAATAATTTTATTTTATTATAATGTTTAAACCAAATAATATTTAAAAGGTATTTAATTTATATCCTATAGTTTTTTTTCAAACGTCAGTAAAATTACACTTCTACTCCTATTGTATAATTGAGTTTTTTTCGTAAATTGGAGGCTACTATAATAACATTTAAAATTG